CTAACAGCTACTATTTAGTTGTTATTAAGGTAATTCAGCTATGCACAATTTACTCTAGACGTTCATAAATACATGGTCGAAAAATATCAGATAGCTTTAATTAATATTAAGACAATTAACATTCTGATGGAAGTCACTTTGGCGTGATTGACATTTGACATGCATATAAATAACAATTGAAAGAATTATATTAATATTATTCATCAGGCGATATATATGGACGGTATAAAGACTTAAAATGAATGTTTTATATCAATTATTTCTCGCATTTGTGACTTTTTGGCGGACATAGAGAATACTAGAAAAGGACCAGTAGATTGATAACAAAATCACCGGCTTAGTTACTGCGCTTCATGCAATTCAGAATTTGTTTGTTTACATTTGAATTCAATTACTGAATTAGTGAAAAACACAAATTTTTAGGTCGCTCGTTAACATTGAACCAAACAGAGGACAATAATGAAATTTCTACCACAGGTTTAGCGTAACATTTACTTTAATACAGTGAAATCTTGAGTTTGTCCGATTAGTCCCACATGCTTATTTCCCTCGTCGAAAAGAAGACACATCCGAAAATTGCCGCAATTTAAATCGGTATTTTTAACGTCTGACTAATTATAACGGGCTATTATTGCTAACAAGAATTCTTTGAAGGCTTGTTTTTATGTGTAGATATCATGAATGTACCTAGTTAGATATTTACCAAGATATTATAGTTCAAATCTACGACGAATTTGTATTTTTTCCATTCAGCCAGTATGTTGATCCCCCGTTATTTACGACATCCTTCATCACATACATTAAACGATGTATTGGTTTAGAAGAGCAGTCTCAGATTTACTACTCTACCAATTTTTGTCTTAATATGTTGAGTGATAAACGAGATATTGATGTGCGAATTATGCCGAAATTACAAATTCTGTCAAAATGGCGACTTCCGCCATTGACAATCACGCAGTGTTTTGCTTATATTTCCTGAAATACTTCATGTCATCTAGCAAAAATTCACACAAATTCTAATTATATAATGATCTAAAAGTGTACCAAAAATCAACTAAATCTGTAATGCTTGTGCAGGAAGTTTAGTCGATTTGGCGTGGAATGACCCATAGGAGAGATTATTCTCTGATTAAATGCAAAAGCCGCTGTTTTATTTAAAAAAATAGTTCCAATTTCCAAAATCCAAATTCCAATTTACTGACGTGTGCTATCGCTATATTTCTTTAATCTGATTGGATGAAGGCGTGTGCACATGTCATCATTCCTCGTTGCAATTGGACAAAATATTACAAACATATCAATCACGTAATCATGTTTAGTTGTTTTTGAATTTTGAGCCGATCAGCCGAACAAAATTTCAACAACTGCCTCAAACAAAATCAAACAAGTTCAAAGCTGTTTTGATTTTTTAAGAAACTGTGGCAATGAGAACTCAAGATCTAGAGCTTAAGAAAAGAAAAATACATGAACAACCGAGTGTTCACTGCAACGTTCTTCATTGTTGATACGAATATGAAATTCGTTATATAATTTCTTTCCAATTTCAAGTGAAATCTGCGAGCGAGGAAGACGCCTTATTGCAGCTTTGTGTTATTGCATGTACCATTTTGAAGAAAAATATGCAAGTAGGTTGTCATATTTCGGTCGTACTTGAAGACCAATTAATTTTGAAAATTGTTTACGAGAATAACCTTTCTTTAATTTGTCGTATTTTTTCCGGGCTGTTTTGCTCAAAAATTATCTCGCAAGTTTCTGTATATAAGTGTTTATATGAAAGTCTGGCTATTGCACGAAACACTACAAGTCTACAACCGAAATATGGCAACCTGTTTGGCCGTCTTTTGTTCAAAATAGTGCATATACACAAGCTTCATACGCCGCGGCTTTCCTCGGTTTGCAACAGGTCTGTCGCAAGTTGTTGAAAACAGCATTGCTGCAGCTCTGTGTCAACAACTTGCGACAGGCCTGTTGAAAACAGCATTGCTACAGCTCTGTCACAACAGCTTGCGACAGGCCTGTTGAAAACAGCATTGCTGCAGCTCTGTCACAACAACTTGTAACAGACCTGTTGACAGGCCGTTGCTGACCTGTCAGAACAGACAGGTACAAGGCGATCGAACGCATCCAGATATCGGCTTGTTGACAACAGGATATAACAGATCTGTTGCAGATCTGTTCCGAATTGCGCGTTTCTGGCTGTGTATAGAGAGTACTTTTTTAAATGAGTTTTGTATTATACTTAAATTTGATATGAGTTAGCTAATTGCATGGGAACGAGCGGTGCATTCATCAGTGGAAAAACTGGTAAAAAGGGCGACGCCCAAAAGAGGTTTTTCTATTTGTCGAATATCCATGTGTCTTTTACATATTTCTGGTATTTCAAATACTATATTGTATATATCTCCAGCATTTTTCGCCCGAATTACGTTTATAATGTGCCCGAACTTCATCTTCACTGGGGGAGTGGCAAATACCCCCGCCCCCCACGCCTATGGGAAAAAAGTCTCTTTAGGACACAAGTCTAAAACTGCAGTTAAAAAGCAGCTATATGTCAGCAAAACTGACTATGAAAGAGCTCAATATAGTAGTGCAAAAAGCACTATTCAATGTAAAATGCAGATTCACTCCAAAAACAAAACAGAAGCTTAAAATTAGTTGTTAAATTTGCCACGAAGAATACAGATTTACTCACACATAATTATGTAGTTTAAAATACAGTATAGACAGATCGAGTACATTACTTCCCGCCTTGAAAATATAAATTATTTTTGATTACGTAATTGACTGAAAACAGCATTGCATGCGTACAGCCTTCCATTCGTACATTTACAGACATTTTAGAATATGCGTAAACAAGTTAACGTTTTATCCTTTTTAATATATATATAGCGTGTGCTGGGCGAAAAGAACATTGTCAGTTAATCTGCAGTTTTGACCCTAGAACCAATGACGCAATATGCGATAATGCCTGCAATGTTGTAAGTACTTATTTTATATGCATATATCTTGTTTTATGAATGCATGCATGACCAGAATACAGAAACATGGTTATTCTACTTCCTATACTAATTTTCACATCATCTATATATGCATAATCCCTAAAATTAATTATATTACGTGCGGTGATGTAATTCGCAAAATCAGTGTATACGGTTGGTCGTTTGGAGTTTTCATCAGTTGAAGGTGGAAGTACATTAAAAGTCAGTTTGTTTTAAGTTATACAGCAGCATGTTTTGCACTTTCATTTATTCCTATAGGGGCAGTGGTGCTGCATTCGGAAATAGACGAATAGACGAATGTCATATAGATAATTAAATTAAATAGACGAATGTCATGAAAACTAACTTCTGTACAAAATTAATTAATATTGAAAATACAGCAGAATAGGCAATAACTGAAAACAGGCCAACATTACCCAAGAACGTCGCGTTTATATATAATTAACTTACTGTTGAAACCATAGTTCTGTCCGTGGTAAAGTATGGGATCGTACACAGGTTTTAAAATCAAATACATCATGTTAATGTTGCATTCCTTTAGGCGCAGTTTAACACAGTAATTTTTTTCTTGTTAATGAAGTTGTTCCTTATGCTAACGTCTGCATGAACATTGTCTTATCTTTAGGATTCGAATCCAAATAGAAGTGCCTGTTATGCTGCCTGTAGAAGAATAAATCTTGGAGTCTTGCCAGCATTATGCATTGGAGTGTGCACACATGTATGTATAGAGAGAGGGCTTAATAATATATAGTCCACTCGAGAAATGAATTTCATATTTTCAGGCATGCATGTTTTATATACTGTAAATTCACGATTATTCAAAGCATGCCTTTCCTCATAGCACAACGGGGGTAAGACAATAAAGGAGTTATAAAACCGCAGTCAGTGGCTGTGTCATTTACCAGGAATTGTCTATACAACCATCCCCTAAACAGCTGAGGTCATACCATTTGGTAATCAGGTTACCATGAATCTAAGCCCGCAAATATATGAATTTTATTATATAGAAAATCAAATTGAGATGGTTTACTCCGGAGTAAGTATATATTCTGCAGGCAGGGAATTTTTCACATATGGGAGAGATCGAGAAGTAGAATGTTGAAGATTCAGTACAACAAACCGAGAGAAACACAACATTAAGCCAGTCCATCCTTCTCGCGAATCATACGTCCATGCTGTCAAAAACGCCGCTTGCTTAAGCTCTATAATCTTTTAAACTTTGCCGTCAAGTGCATTGAAAACATCATGTCCACATCTAACAAAGTTGGAAGAAATTGTTTTCGAAATTGTACCATTTTTTCGGGGCTTTCCTGCTTGAATAAACTCTTCAAATAAAAAGATTGGTAGGAAGTGTAAGAACTTTACCAGCCTGATGATGAAGTGTAAGACATTTACTACTAATTAGCAGAAAAGATGAGACATTCACTACTGATTAGGCTTCTCGTATAAATATTATATATTATTACTAAGCCGAAGCAATTTTCCGCGTTGATGTGTCAGAAATATTATGCATGCTGATTGGATCTATACTTGTCTAAAATTTCCTTTTTTCTCTATAGTGCTTCCCTATTTGAATGTTAATGGAGGATCAATTTTCATTTCATTGATTTGATTTCGGCTATTTTGTTACTTGGATCTTATTCTATGGTGAATATTGTAGCTTTTAAACAATAATAGATACAGTATAGATACACTCATACAATAATGTGATTCATTGTATTTTGCTAGACTTAAATTAACAGTGAATAAAACATTTTCATATAGTTTTAATAGTGAATATTCAAAATATATCGACCATTCAGAGATTGGGCCGCTTGTGGTCACGCATTCGGAAACTGTCGGTGTAATGCCGTAATGTTTAATTTACATGAATATATCGTATATAGTCGTACGAAATTCTAAATTATTAAAAAATAAACAAAACAAACTGAAACTATATCTACTGATCTGATATGCGCTTTTCTGGTCTTTGTGGCAGTTTCTTCAGCGATATATGGTTCCGTGTTTATAACAAAAGGCACACTACATTGTGATTTTACTGATAATTTGCCGATTATCAAGTGTTCTGCAAACAAACATCAACAAAGGTTGTACAGTATGTGCAATGTAATCATTGCTGTTTATTTTTTATCCAATCTGGAAAATTTAATAGATGAGATTTGCAAGTTTTGGAAATCTTGCTCATGACCTCAAGCACGTTTTTCGTTAGATAGCAACTATAGTTAGCTAGATTTTAATGAATTCTTTTCAATTTTAAATTAATCAACTTGCGGTGAAAATTGAGAGTTTCGCATTTTTCAAAGAACTGCTGGCCACTTTCTGTGTGATGTCCGCTGACAATACGAACCCACACGAGTGGGAGATTGCTAAATTTAACCAACGTGCAAGGAATATTGAGAAGGATCAAATCGGTGAAAGCACAAAACTTCTATAAGGTTGAAGCTAATTAGCCTTTCTCACCCCGCATTTTTTGGACTTTTTGAGGAACTGTAATTTTTCGTAAACGAAATATAATCGTTTACGAAAAATTACAGTTCCTCAAAAATGGCGGCGTGAGAAAGATTAATGGACCTTTCACCTTTTGACTAAAATTTAGATCTCAACAAGTCTACCCAAAAATTTAATCACACCTTGAAAGAGCATCACAAAATTAGTAATATTCCAAAGTTTCGTTGCGAAATGTTAAATAAAGATAATATAGCCTTGCGAAGTTTGCAATTATCAGTCATTTTGTATTACGCGCGGGAAATACATACCTTCTACAACATTTCGCAACAAAACTTTGGAATATTACTAATTTTGTGATGCTCTTTCAAGCTGTAATGAAATTTTTGTCTAGACTTGTGGAGATCTAAATTTTAGTCAAAAGGTGAAAGGTCCATTGAACCCTGTCGTTTACTGTACCTATGAGCTGTAACAGCCTAACAGGTGGACGTGTTTTTTTTATTTGGTTTTGCAGTTTTGGCTAAAAATGAACAATTAGGCTATGAAACTGTGATGTTTTTCTGTTTGCATGTAATCACTTGAGAAGTAAACAACTTTTTAAACGTTTATTAAACGTTTGTGTAGAATTTTGCAAATGTTTTACGGGTGACAGTGTATACTTAAAAAGTTTAAAAGCATTGTTTCGTAGCTATTTTTTGGTCTAGTGATATTCGTATCATATGTAGAATTTCTGTATAGACTCGAAATAGATTTGGCACTCAAAACCAAGTATTATTCAACGTATTATTTAGAAATCTTTCTGAAATAGCCTTTTTTTAAAAAAAGCCCGGTCAATTTTTGTTTTGTTTTAATCGTGCGGTTGCGTGGGATAGTCCACGTACTGCTCCCGCAAACATCCCATAAGTTACTATATAGGGAGCCTATTTACCTCCCTAAGGCGAGTTTAGATCCCAGAGTAGATCTCACCTTGTTGTTATAGCTCACCATCAACTTCTGGCTAAAGCTCAACAGCTGGATTCGATCTGTAGCTCCGTTGGATTGAACACGCATGTGTAGAGAAGCGCCTTTTAGTGTATGTGTTTAAGCGCCTTTTAGTGTATGTGTTTTAGCGCCTTTTAGTGCATGTGTTTTTGAGGAGAGAGAACCGCATGGGAATGAGATATTGTAGAGTTAATGTGAAATTGTGAGATGTATTTCGTGGAGATTAATCGTTGTTGAGTATTGTAATTAAAGAGTTTTGGTATTATCTTAGTCCAGTTGTGCTTCGTGACAATTTTGGAGGTCCCACCGAGACCAAACTTGTGGAAATGATGTGACATTTTGACTTGTTTTTCGAGTGTGTTTTGTATCGTGCAAACATGGCGGTCGAACCTGAGCAAGCAGAAGCACCGAATGTTGAGACGAATAAATTATCTTTGTCATTGTTTCGAAGGCCCGACAAGTTTAAAATTGGCGAAGACTTTGATTTGTTCATCAAGAAATGTAATTTGTACTTCGAAGCAGTGGAACTTGAAGATGTTAAAAAGCGACGATTTGCGCTGTTGTTTAATTTGAGCGAAGATGCGTTTCGTTTGGCAGAACCGGTTGAGTTTGGCGAAGGGGAAAACGCGTACAAAGATTGGATTGGAAAGTTGAAGTCGTTATTTGAAAGGAATCAGACTGCTACAGAGAAACGTTACAATTTTCATCGTCGAGAACAGGAGCCTGGTGAGTCTGTTGATTCGTATGCTGTTTCTTTGCGAGAAGCTGGAGCTAGATGTGGTTTCCATGGTGACGAATATTCTAGCAGGTTGGTTGATCAATTTATTTTGGGGTTGAGAGATAAGGCCACCCAAAACAAGTTGTTACAAGAGCCACCAAACAGTTTAGATGATGCCTTGTTAATTGCTCGAAGATTTGAGGCAGCAAATGCCACAATGAAAACATTAGCCAGAGAAGCAACAGAAAAATTAAGTAGAACAACAATTGGCTCAGTTAGTTCTTTGAATGCTGCTAAAACATGTTATTCGTGTAATGGATTTGGTCATGTGTCCAGACAGTGCCCTACTATGAACAACTTCAGGCAAAATAATACTGCACGGCCACAAACTAAGTTATGTTATTCATGTCAAAAGCCAGGACATTTGGCAAAATCCTGCCCCTTGGCTAATCAACAACCAGTTAATACTAAGCTCCAAGGTTATGATAAGAATTGGCAAATGGATAGACACGTGACCATTTGCTATCGTTGTGGGAATAGTGGCCATATTGCAAAGTTCTGTAATGCCAAGTTGGAGGGAGGTCTGGGTTCTAGTAGAGATGGTGAAAGCCCCAAGAAAAATGATTCAAAAATCAGACTGTCTACTGTTTCTTCAGCGAGTAAGAAGAAAACCCTTATGGTCGAGACTACTATTAATGGGAAAAACAAACTTTGTATAGTTGACACTGGCGCATCTATTTCATTAGTTAGTAAAGACCAGTGGCAACCTCTTAAACTGGATGATACCCCATTATTTCCATCCGATATTGTTGCAGAAGCCGCTAACAATTCTCCCATTGGGATTTTGGGCAAAACCACCTTGAATGTGCAATTTGATGAAAACAACAAGTCATCTCATGACTTTTATGTGGCTAATGAAATGGTGTCTGAAATTATTCTGGGTTTAGATTGGTTAGTAACTAACAAAGTAAATGTCGATATGGCTGAAATGGTTTTGAAATTCCCAGATGGTACCACAAAACCCTTGTGTTTATTTGATTCAACCATAGCAGATCCCCTGGGCGTTGTTCTAGATGAGGATTTGGTTGTTCCGGCGAAACATGAAGTTTTCAAAACTGCCAGGGTCCGAAATCCCACTTTAAATGAAAGCATCTTAGAGCCTAATATGAACTTATCCGGGAAAGGTGTTCTTGTAGCAAGAGTTATTGTACAGCCAAAAGAACAGAGGGTACCCATCCAGATTATTAATCCAGGGACATCACCTATTAAGTTGTACAAGGGCATGACTGTTGGGCAACTTCAGCAAGTTGGTGATGAGTTAAGAGACCCAACATTTATTAATTCAAAGTGTGGTACATCATCTGCCGAGGATAAGATCAAATTTGAGTTAGAGCATCTGTCGGGTGAGGAGCGAGAGAGGATGGAAAATTTGTTGAATAAACACCAAGATGTTTTCGCGAAAAATTCTAGTGAACTTGGCGTAACCACACTAGCAGAGCATAAGATTGAGACAGGCGATGCCGTACCTGTTAAACAGCTGCCTCGAAGACTGCCCAATTCTCTGAGAACCGTTGTTGAAGACCAAGTAGAAGAAATGTTGGAAAACAACATAATTAAGCCGAGTAATTCACCATGGTCAAGTCCTATAGTCTTAGTTCGAAAGAAAGATGGGACATGGCGTTTTTGTATTGATTTCAGGAAACTAAATGATGTCACAGTGAAAGATGCTTTCCCACTTCCCCAGGTTGCTGATTTGATGGATAACTTAGCTGGTCATCAGTATTTTTCGACACTCGACCTAGCCTCGGGATATTGGCAGGTTCCAGTTGACGAATCTAGTCAGGAGAAAACAGCTTTCGTGATTCCAGGGGGTGGTCACTTTGAATTCCTGCGTATGCCCTTTGGCCTAACGAATGCTGTGCCCACGTTCCAGCGACTTATGCTTACTGTGTTGAATGGTCTTTTGCCACTCAAGTGTCTGGTTTACTTAGATGATGTTTTGGTCGTGGGTCGCACGTTTGACCAACATTTGGAGAATTTGGACGATGTCTTGCAGGCCATAGACAGAGCTGGATTGAGACTTAAGTTGTCCAAGTGTAGTTTTGCGAAGCCAAGTGTGGATTTCTTGGGTTTTACCGTTTCTGCTGCTGGTCTGGCCCCAAATGTGACCAAAGTTGAAGCAATCCGTGCTTTTCCTACCCCACAGAATCTCACTGAGTTGCGACGTTTCCTGGGTATGGCCTCTTACTACAGGCGTTTTATTTCTGGTTTCAGTGACATTGCAGGTCCTCTTCATCGTCTGACGCAAAAAGGTGTCCGCTTTGATTGGGACAAGAACTGTCAACGAGCGTTCGAACAACTGAAAGAACAACTTATATCTGCCCCTGTTTTGGCATTTCCTGACTTAAATGGAGACTATATATTGTATACGGATGCGAGTGATGTGGGCATAGGCGCAGTGCTGACCCAAAAGGATGAAAATGAGGAAGAAAAAGTGGTTTCTTTTGCATCTAAGGCATTTTCGGGTGCTGAAAAGAACTGGACAACAACAGAAAAGGAAGCATTTGCAGTGGTCTGGGCTTTACAATACTTTCACCCATATGTATATGGGAGAAAGGTCACCATATATACTGATCATAAGGCTTTGAAATGGCTTCGAGACATCAAACATCCAAATGGTAAATTAGCTCGTTGGATCTTAAAATTGGAAGAATATGACTATACGATAGAACACCTACCTAACACGAAAATGCAGCATGCGGATGCCTTGTCTCGTGCACCTGTGAACACTATCTTGGTTTCAATGTCAACCTGGCAAGAGTTTGAAGACATGCAAACGTTCGACGAGGATATTCAGTTGGTTAAAGAATGGGTGCAAAGTGGTTCTAGACCAGATCAAAAACCGGTTGATGTGAGTGTAACTCTAGATACATTATACAAGAATTTTGATTCATTGGTTGTCAAAAATCATGTCTTATGTCGAAAGTGGACTGATAAGACAGCAAAGGAACGAGAGCAAATTGTGGTACCTACCTATCTAACTCCTAACATACTGAAAGAAGCCCACTGTCAAGTTGGACATTTAGGCGTTGCAAAAACGTTTGAGATGATTCAACGGAAGTTTTATTGGCCTGGATTCTTTAAAGCTGTTGAAGAATTTTGTAGAAATTGTGAAGTTTGTTCCAAAAATAAAGCAGTACCTAGGCCGCGGAGTCCGATGAAGCCAATCGAAGTGATACCCATACCATTTTATATGATTGGTGTAGACATTATTGGTCCATTAAAAACAACTAGTAAAGGAAACAAATACATTTTGTCAGTCGTTGATTACTACACAAAGTACGCAGAGGCAGTAGCATTGCCAAATCAAGAAGCAGTTACAGTTGCGAGAGCCCTGGAAGACATCTTTGCTAGACATGGAATGCCCTCAGTCCTACTAACAGATCAAGGCAGTAATTTTGAGTCCAAAGTGATTGCAAGTCTATGTGAAATGTTTGGAATTGAAAAGAGACGGACTACAGCCTACCATCCCCAAACAGACGGGTTATGCGAGCGGTTTAATGGTATTTTGAAATCCTTGTTGAGAATGAGAGTAAACAAAGAGAAAAATGATTGGGACGAGCAGCTGCCACATGCGTTACTGGCTTATCGGGTTAGTACGCAATCCTCTACGGGTGTGACACCATTCGAAATGTTATATGGTAGAGAAGTGAGATTGCCATTTGGAACGGATCAAGAAAAACTGGTATCTAGCCCAACACATGGTCCAGCCAAATACGTTGAAGAGTTAAAGAAGAGACAAGATATTCTCCGGAAATTGGTTACTAAAAGGATCGAGAAAGCGCAAGAGAAGCAGAAACGTAGTTATGATTTACGATATCGAGCACAACAAAACAAGCGGTTTTACGTGGGGGACACTGTTCTATTAAAGAATTTTCGAGCGCGAGGTTTAGATGAAAAGTATACGGGTCCTTACATCATTGTTAACATTCGAGAGAACGATTGCGAGATAGAGTCATTGGAAAGCAGAAAGCGTAAAGTTGTACATGCGAATAATCTAAGACGGTTTGTCGTAGAAACAGTTGCTAATCCATTGGGTGAGGAATCGGAAGACATGCTAAGTTCTGATTCGGATGAGTCTACGATTGAACTTATTAATGAGCGTGCTGGAGTACGTATAGCACCACGTGGAATCGATGATCAAGCAGAACCATTAAATTTACGTTATAACTTAAGACAGAATCGAAGACAACCCGATCGTTATGGAGTACCTGTGTTGGATTATTAAACACTGTGAACAGATAAGTTAAACACTATTATAGTAATGGAAGTGTTGCATGAACTTTGTCGATTTGAACTATTTTATACCTACTTTCGTGTTGAGTTAACCAGTGAACTGTTATAGTCAGTAATCAAGTTGATTTTAGGTGGGGGGAGTGTAGAGAAGCGCCTTTTAGTGTATGTGTTTAAGCGCCTTTTAGTGTATGTGTTTTAGCGCCTTTTAGTGCATGTGTTTTTAGAGGAGAGAGAACCGCATGGAAGTGAGATATTGTAGAGTTAATGGTGAAATTGTGAGATGTATTTCGTGGAGATTAATCGTTGTTGAGTATTGTAATTAAAGAGTTTTGGTATTATCTTAGTCCAGTAGTGCTTCGTGACACATGCAGCAACCCCTCGCTTATATTTTCCAAACATTGATCGCCGAGCCGGCGGCGCGAAGCGCCGTGCGAGGGTACTAATTTCGCACGGCTAATTATACCCGGGTATGTGAAAACACATGGGAGTGGAAAGCATTGAACTATATAACATGAAAGGCTGACTCGAGCTCAAAAAGTGAAGCCAACATGGCGGAAATTGAAGGCATTCTTCCGCGTCATTCTCAGTCCCCATACATGCGCGGTCAACAAAACTTTTATATTTTTCTTTATTTTCCGAGCAAAAATTTGGTGAAAAACAGACGAAATTTGAATGAAAAGTTGAATTCTAGTGTTTTGTTTGGGTTCAGTTCTAAATTTTAATTATTATTTATTTAAAAGATGCGATATTTGAGTGAGAAGAAAGCAAAATAGCGTGGGATTGTTGTTTTTGTAAATGACAAAGAGTGACAAAACAAAACACAAATGTCACTCAATCTTTCAAAATATCTCTATTGCCCCTATGACAAGGGTTTCACACACATAAATAACTCGTTAAAATAAACAGTTTAAGTTTATAAGGCAATCATCAAAGTGATTTTATTAAATAAAAAATAAAAAAACAAAGTTTTCTTGCATGTATGGAATTAAACTGGCTAAATACTGCCTCGAAAACTGCAGTTAAAAAGCAGTTTTAGGTCAAGAAAACGAACTAAAATAATTTAAATAATGCTATGAAAAGAGAAAAGCACCATAAAAACAATTAAGAAAGCGAAACAACCAAAGTAAAACTAAATTCCCAATTTATAAAAATACAGATTTATTAAAAAAAAAAAGTTTGAAATCAGTAGTTGAAATCAGTTGTTCCTTTTCTGCTCTTTAAAATGAAAAAAAAAAACACAACCCAAGAGTTGCGGACCCATCACTTCCCGCCATGAAAATATAAAAAATGTTTGGCCGCGCAGGTAAGGAGACTGAGAATGACGCGCAAGAATGCCTTCAAAATCCGCCACATTCTCGTACCCAGAGCCCCTTCTTACGCGCGGTGCGGCGAGGGGCTCTGGCCAAATCCATATTCCGAACTGGGATCTGATTGGCTAGTTCTAACAGCGGATATTGTTTTCTTACCATGTTTTTTATGGTATCCGGTTATGGATTTGGCCAGAGCCCCTCGTCGCACCGCGCGTAAGAAGGGCTCTGGGTACGAGAATGAATCCGCCATTTTTGGCTTCACTTTTTATTACGTCACTGACTGAAGTCAGCCTTCCATGTGTATAGCTCACTGGTGCAAAGTTGTCTTCCATTTTGTTTATGTCATGGACGGTTTTCGACGTTATGCGCACGCGCGAGGACAAGCAATTTTTTGTTTTAAATTTCGTTATTAAAAAGTACAACACGGTTTTTTTTCTCGATTTTAACCGGAAATAAGCATGCAGTTTCATGAATCAGTGGCTGTTCAACAGTGAAACAAAGTGTTTATAATAATTGTTTTGATGTTTTGATGTTTTGATGTTGATGTCTTTGATAATTTAATCATTGTTGTGCCGGTTTAGGTAAATGTAAACATTTCAGTCGTAAAATTTCATGCCGTACTTGCATTGTGTTGTCGGTTTTTATTCATATCTGCGAAATTTTTAAGCCGTTCTTAACTCGATAATTCACTTAATGCATGCCGATATACAGGGTGTCTCAAAAAAACCCAAAATCATTGAAATAACGTATTGTTCGAATTTCAATGCCGTAACACAAAGGATTGTGACAGGGTGATTAATTTGTTTTAAAAAATTAAAATATCTTTGTAAAGTGAACGTTTGTTTGCTCATGGGAATTTAAAAATGCTTCGTAAATTGTAATATGCGTAATATGCATTCGTGGGTTTAGTACTTTATGCCTGACATAACAAGTTTACGCTGAGTATTACCATTCATTATAGCAGTTATGTCAACTTTTATGCACTCGTGGGATTAACTTAGTGCTAGGACATTGAATATCGAACAATACGTCAATTTCAATGATTTTGGTTTTTTTTGAGACACCCCGTATATGAAATTGCAGGAATGTTATTGTTCATTATATAAAGGTTTGCGCATCAGTTGTGTTTTTATGTTTGTTTATAATGGTCTTAATACTTTATGTGGAGTTTTTATACTTCGTATGTTAAGAAAGACGAGGGGTTGCTGTATGCATGTATTTTCTAGTTTAACACGAATAATTAATAATTGATCAACACAGCTAAATGCCGTGACAACACGATAATTTTAATTTTTTTATATTTTTTGTACAACACGCCAAAACTAGTTCAAAGATTATTGCTTTTAACTATATGACAATGAATTTCTGAAATATGTACTGTAGGTATATGTTGTTCTGGATTTCGTGAGCTTTGATTTAATGTAAAATTTAACTTCAATCGCTTCGTCAAATGTTTTGATATGCTCATTTTATTTCATAACTAAACTGTTTTTACTTAAATTAATAAAAAAAAATAAGTTGAAATTGTTGAGTAATTTCAGTTCGGTTTTCAAATTAATTTGCTCTCCATTACATTTTACTTTTTTGGTTTAATTAAACAGCCTGGGTAATTTAGCAAACTTACAACTTCATTGAATAGGAAAGCAGTGCATGTTTTACGCAATAGATTAAAGCAAACAATTCATATTAAAATTAAACATTCAAAACAAACTTGCCCCACTTTCACGATTTCCCATTGTAAATCAATTCTTCTCATTTCTTCAAACAAAAATTGTTTAAAGCTTATTGTGTGAATCGTGATTTTCCAAACATATGCTTTGAATATTAATTGAATCTTGCTTAACCCAATCCTGGGAAACGGCCATATTTTTGAGATCAGTTAGGTCACTCATGAACCATATTCACGCGCCCGCGATCGTTGAAGAACGTTAGACTTTGCTAATGCTTTCCTTTTCCCAGGTGTAAATAGCCAGGCGGAATTGGTCCCTCCCCCCTCCCGGGCTAACGCCCGAAATGGCGCGCCGTTGGCTCGGGGACAATAGGAAGTTTACGATCTACGACGCGGCCGGCTCGACGACGCGCTTTCAAAACAAATAAATTTGGTGTTTCCACAAACAATAGTATTATGTGTTTTATAGCCATGCAAACCTACAAAGAATTTACAAAGAAATTTGTCATGCAAGACAAAAACTGTCAATAGCTTGTGGTCCCATGAGCATTGTCAACCGCGTTGTCATTCTCAACACAACGTTAAAAAAGCATTATTACGTCTTTCAGGCAACGCGAAAGCTTAATGCGACACAAGAGGTATTACTAAAAGTCGAAGTTACAGCAAACATTGCATCGCTTTAGCCGAACGTAGCATTTTGTAAGGTTATTTGAAAGAGTCAAATATTTATTACAGTAATTGAATTGCTTAGCGCTCATTCTTGAGCTAAAATTTAGACCGCGCCGTCGAGCCGGCCGCGTCGCAGAGCGTAAACTCCCTAATAGTGGAAGAATACGAAGGATATGAAATTATGATTTATATGATATTTATGTAGAAAGTGTATAATTATTTAAGGTTCATTTCTGAAACAGCGACTGCATGTTCTTGTTTTTGCGATTGTTTAGAGTTAAAAATATATTTAAAATTATGTACAAAAGAGTATTTTTGTCTTTTAGTCTTTGTGGTTACTTGAGTGCGGGGTGAGTGTGCATGGGGCAATTAAACATGGCGCACTGTTGCTTTTGCGCGCATTGTTTGCTTGCAAATCGAGCCTTTCAAAACCGAAAATCGGGCAATAGATCACGCGTTCGTTCTTTTGATTTGGCAAAAGAAGCACAACAAATTGCAAAATTCGCACAGTGTCCGTTTTCAAATACAACTGCAAGTTACTCTAACTCTTTTTGTCATTTTCATTTGATCTCATCCGCGAGTCGGCCTTAACGGCCTTTGATTAGGATTCGTCGGCAATAAATTATACTCGAACACGCGTCGAGTAAATTTTAAATAATTCAATTAGTTCTTAATTTGTGTCGTCATTTTAACTTAAGTACAGCATGCAATTGTTTGAGGTAGATCACCATGAAAGTTCACAATTTTTTTACATCGATTGTCATGACATTTTCTTAAAATACGAAAATATGCGGAAAACGTCCTCGAGCTAAGTGAAATATCCCACACTCGAATCGCCAAGGGTTGCATGGTTGATATGAGCCCGCGTATGGAGATGACCCACTTATATACTGTACTCATGAAATTACTTGAATTAATGCCTGAATTTGTTTTGCAAGATAACTTAATTTGAGAGATATAAAAGCTGCGATTTGCCTTTTCCTTGAGATATGGAATATGCACTAACGAATTTGGATTTGGATTTGGTATTAATTAGTTAGTTGACTTCGTGTACATAGGATTTAGACAAAAATTGTATCGGTGATAAGACGGAATTAAACTCATAGAAGCATTCCAAGTAATATAAAATTTGCAATCTATAAACCCAGCTATAAAATGTAACCTGCATCCAGATTCTATATAGCTGTAAAATTATTGATAAGAATAGAGCAGAAAATTGAGAGAATAAGAATGCTCAAATTGTCGGTAATTTTATTCTATTTTCTGAACTTACCAATGCTCGTCGTTGATATTAAAATAATTCACTAGTGACGTCAAACGGAATATAGATGATCTGTTTGCTCTTGAGTTTTCGACCATTTCATTCTCGCACCACTTCTAACTTCTTGTTGTCCAAGTACATCTTCAATTTGCACTTAAGTGATTTTAAAAGTTTTGAATTCTTGTCAAATTTCAAGTTTTATAAAATCAGTTTTATAAAAGCCTATTGTGGGGATTGTGGAGAAAGCAAAGAACATGCTGAAATTGTTTTCGTTGTTCGGGGTGCTTGTTTTGGCCTTGGGTAAGTTGGAATATTTACAATCGAAAGTTGAAGGATTTGCAGATGGAAATTTCGATCGTAAATTTGTACATAGATATCTATAATATAATGTTTGTCAGGGACGCCGGAACTGGGGGGGGAGCAGAGAGGGCGGCTGCCCCCCTTGCCTTTTGCTAGGGGGGGCCGGGAGGGGAGCAGAAGTGCCCTTTTAGTTGTAAAATAATACGTGATAAATCACATTTCCAACGATGCTTTTTGTAGAAAAATCACGAGATTCAGGTAATTTATAGTTTATATTTATAAAAATTTTGGGAAATTTTTGGAATTTAGAAAAATATTTTGAAGAAATGGCGAAAATTTAAGATATCCGGAAAAATTTTTGGCTTCACGGAAAATTTTTGTATGTCCGGAAAAAAATTTTGACCCCTAAAATGGTACACTGACCGAAATTTTTTTGGCGACGGGGGGGGAATGAGGTCGCCAAAAAATTTTACAGTGAAAAAAAATTTTTCAGTAAAGGTGCCCTTGGTGTGCGTCCGCCCCCCTTTGCCCTATTATCGTTCCGGCGTCCCTGATGGTTGATGATATCATGCTTACACGATTACATTCTTACATGGAGACTACGCGCAGGCTACAGTCGATATATGGTTCTTTAACAGTTGATGAAATCTTCAAAGTTAAAAGACAATGGAATGATGCAGCTTATTAAAGAAGATCGACAGACATACGACAGTCACCCAGTTTTTATGAGAATCATACTAGGCAACTCAACTTACAAGTGGATTTTAAACGGGCCTCTTCGAGTGTCGGGCTAGAACTAAAGGCTGTTATGCCTGCAAACAAATGCTGTATTTACATGAATTCAAAGCTAATCAAGAAAGTTCATTGTCAAACTCAACACAGTGGCATTGAACTAATTACTGTATGTCAGGAATACAGGGCACCGAAGAAAGTTAGAAGTATCGTTAAAAGGCCGACTTCTTGGTTTTGCCTATGATTTTGGTGTAACAATTGCAATGCTGTCGCCATTTTCCTAGCCAGTGCACTTGTGAGAAGCATTAGAGAGGTTTAGCAAAGGCGACGCGACGTCAAAGACGACGTGAAAATGGTGTGGGCACATCCATAGATGGGCATATCACGCCATTTTCACGTCGTCTTTGACGTCACGTCGTCTTTGCTAAACCTCTCTATTATTCAAAATGGTGGACGTTCAGTGGGGTGAATGCCTCTCATAACTCATAAGCAAACTGGCTGGGCGGAACATGCAAGTGCATTGATGATGAATCATTGCGAATCATGGCGTGCCAGCAGTTACGCTTTTTTAGAGACCATATATATACAGAAGCCGACTCGCTTTCTGCATGTATACTGTATATGGTCTCTATTTTGTTGCCATTGTTGAAGAGTAGGCAGAGGCCCTGTATTTTGCGGGCTGGTTGTGGGCTAACACGTGCGAGGCCTAGGAGAGAAAATAATCTTTAAATTAGCTTCCTCGCACGTGTTAGCCTGCAACCAGCCCGCAAAATACAGGGCCTCTGGAGTCTGACCGTCTTCAACACAGGCAGAACTAAAAATTGTATTTGGTACTATTTGCATATGTGATGCTATTAATAATACGGGATGGCTCTCTGTGGTTCCAAGCAAAGTCTCTAGCTGCTCAGACAATTTTACTTGTCAAGGGGAGCTAGAGCACTAGTCATTATTAAGTTGCATTGCACATGCACTGTCTAATGCGCCCTAATTTATTATTAGCTCTGCCTCTGTCAAACAATAAGTTAAACATATAAAATAAAATATAAACTACAGTGCAGATAAGAAAAAAGGGACTAGTGTATGTGCATATTAAGTGTTTTGGCATGCTGGGCTTAAAGTAAATATTTGATAGTCCATGCCTTCAAGCAAGCTGCAAACCATTTTGAGTAATAAATAAAACAAACTAAACATAAAAATAAAGTGACAGAGTGGGTAAAATTTAGACATGTTTCAATTTAAATCATTGTGTGGACAACAGACTTCAACAGCTCTATAAGATCCAATCAATAATTCAATATGAATGATTTGCTGTAACAATGAAATATTGTCATTAGGGACCAGTCATAAAGTAACTGCTAGGGTGGGCTGGAGTGATTTGGGATGGGCCATGGAAAATCTTTGGGCAGTTGCGATGGGCCGCCAATTTTTTTGTATGTCCACGGATGTCTATCCATGCATGCATCCATGCATGTCTACTTCAAAAAATACAGATATTAATAATAAAAGTAAACAAAATTATCCAAATCAAATGCAAATGATGCTATTGAAGCGAGTACTTTGTTTATACAACAAGAAGAAGTGGTCGAATCACAGCAAATGCAACCAACTAGAGAGCAGCGATCAGTATCAAATATGCCCAATATGTTGATCAAGCTTGATGGAATTATGTATGTCAATACAGAGCCGTGTATATTTACAATGTTCATACCTTTTATTATAAAAGTGTATTTTCCCAATTTAGATTGTGTGGATCATGAAATTTTTTTTGTAAAATTAGATGGGCTTTGAAATTTTTATCTACATCCTAAGATGGGTTACCGAACTTATTGGCAAAATTTGTGATTTACCTCCAGCCCACCCTAGCAGTTACTTTATGACCAGTCCCTTATTGATATTATTTTTTAATCTTGAATAACTTAGCTTATAATCAACCTTAAATTCAGTCAATCACAATTCCCGGCTGCTGATGGCTGAGACTGATCAGGCTTTACAGTGCTCAGGCTCTTCTCCATGCAATTTTCCATTGCCTCATTCCTCTAGAAGAGCCTGCAGCAACACTGGCTATCAATTGATTTCGAAACTTGATCACAACAGGCTATGTACTAGAGGTGTGCATCGAATTGAATTGGAGGTTTACAATCCAATGGGAAATTGTCTGATCTGAATCTAATACGATCCAAGTTTGTTAAAGCGTTCCAATCCAGTCTGCATGATCCAAAGAAAATCTGAAAAAACCTTCAATACTTAAAATTAAACTTTCCAATCAAGTGTATAACTGTATATCAAGGTCAAACTTTTAATTTGTAGATTCTAGACTCTATCCAATCCGATGTAAATATTATGGCTCCGAAATCTGAACAAATCGGATTGGTTTCGTATCGGATTTGCACATCTCTACTCTGTACATCACACAATTCCCTTTGTTCATGTTTTGAGCTACTGCAGTCTCAAGCTACATTGGCATAGTAGATCAATGAAGTATACACTATACACATGCACTCGCCCTGTACAGTAGCAAGCACTGTCTCAGTTTAAAAAAGCCTTTTGTTCTTGTCACATGATATTCCAATTCATGAATGACATGAAATCAATATAGACTGTAGACCCTTCCAGAAAGTATGTCATTTTGTGATTAAGATGCTCAAATTCACAGTAAACAAGGCTCTATGGCCAAAATGACATACTTTCATTAGGGTGTATTAAGGTTGTCTTCGATGAATAAAACAGGATTTATTGAAGAACATGTACTATTTGAACATAGTACTTACCTACAGTAGTTACAACACTAATTCATTGGGCAAATGCAGGAAAAGCAATCCAAATGCCAGATGATTTGGCTGTTTTATAGTTTACCATACCCAAGTAATACAAATATTTAATATAAATGCCATGTTTTTCAATCCATGTATATTAAAATCAGTATTTGAATACATGTTTTTGGTGGCATATGTATATTTTCACAGTCAGCGATTACTGATTAGTAGGCCAGTAGGGCAGGGTAAATTGGTAGTCCTTTTGCCGATAATTCTGAAATGTATAAATGTAAGAACATGCCACCAGGAATGATAGCAGTGATATAAATAAGGCCATACACGGTCGTGTGATCACAATCATCACATGATACAAATATACAATTGTGCTATTATAAAACTAAATTAAATAAAGTAAAAGACCAACAAGGCAACAACAGCAAATTTACTTGTTATATTCAATGTACCTTTTTTACTTGCGTTGTTAGGCACATTTTCTTTGTTTTGGAGTGCACTGCCTTTTTTCACAGAAATTCTAAAAAAACATATTTTTCAGATCAGAACACTGCAACATTCACAAGTAACGCGACACTCCATTAAAACAAAGCGGTTAAAAAATCCAAATACCCGCGATTATTTACCTTGATTTTGCACGAGTCTGTGTTTTTCTAGCTTCCATCATTGCCGATTTCGTTTAGATAGACGGTTGTGTTCATAGAAAGGACGAAAATTGTCGTATTTTAGTGATTTAAAAACGCTCCTTTCTCCTACCGTGTGTCCGTGTTTCAAAGTTCGCAGATCAAGCAAGTTGAAATTCGCACAGCCAATCACAACACATGAATCGGCGTTACCATAATAAACCACTGATCTCTGTTGTCTTGGTAAACTGGACTACTCATCCAGCACGTTTTGTTCTAAAAAAATAGGTACGCAAAAGATACGATCGTTAAAAATAGACCTTTTTCACAATGACGTAACGCAGAAAAACACTAAATGCGTTGTCCCAAGAGACATTATAGCGACAATTCGTAATGCAAATGTGCTTTCATGAAATTTGGGCCACTCCATATGTGCACCCCCCTCCCCCTATTGAAGGGTCTGGATATCCAATGGGGGGGGGGGGGGGGGTTT